CTTCCAGAATGCTCTCAACATTCCCCCCTATTCCAGTTGTTTATTAAGAATTCTTCTGTAGTGATACTGCCTCGGAAACCCAAGGAGGGGTCGCTATGAGTCGGGTTTGACTCGACGGCACATAACAACAACAACAACAACAACATCTAAATCTGAGTGATCAAAATTGCTTTCAGGTGACATGTAAAGAAAGTGATTGACCATGTGATTTTGGGTGAACAACCCCAGAGAAAGTTGGATGGAGGACTTGGTAGGTCTTTGTCAGCTTGACTTTCAGGTTCTCCCAAGGTCTTTACAGAGGCACTCACTCCTGTTGGGGAGGGGGAAGAGAGAGAGAAGGTTGAGCCAGTATCCCTTGTCCAGTGGGCATCTCAGTGTTTATAGCCGGGAGCCTGGCCCCATCCAGCAGTGCCTGCCTCACTGGGTGGGGGGGAGGGCACAGTGTTCCTCAACATGCTCCTCAGGGATCTTTTTGCAGCTGAGGTTTGAGAATAGCCATCTAAGCCCCTAAGGGGTATACTGAGAGGGCACCTGCCCTGGAAAAATGCAAAGTGGAGGAGTGCCTTATGATGAGGTCTTTGGGGCTGATTATTTGGTTTTGGTCACACTATTGGACCTCCTGGTCCTATGCAGAGGTTGGGCCCTTGTTGGCCAGGTGGCAGGTGGTCTGCTGTGAGGTCAAGTGAGCTGTTGTCCTGGAGCACATGGTCCTGTAATGATTCCATTTCAGATATCAGCACTGGGCAAAACCCCCCAGCCAGCACTAGTCAGTGGCACCTTCATGTGAAGGATCTTAGGTCTCTGCTCCAAGCATGGTTGGGCAGCCTGTAAGTGAGCATGGCTAGCAGTGAGTGCTGAGCAGTGAGGGATAGGGTGTGTGGCACTTTGCCTGAGCTATGAGTTTTGATGGGCTGGTTTGCTCAACCCTGAGCTGAGTGTCCATGAAAGGCTTGGTTAGGTAGGCAAGATTCGGGCAGGGCTAGTGTGTCTCCATCTCTGCCAACTGCCCACACCAGCCCAGGGCAGTTGGCATTGGCATGCAATGATGATGTATATGGAAGAAAAATGAATGGACAAAGGAAAGTCTTGCTCATCCAGGAGTGACATGTTTGCTAGAGGGTGATAAGACCAGAAGAAAGGGACTCATGGTAGGAGAGGGAGGTGAGACTTGGGAATCAATTTCCCTTCCATTTCACAGACTATGAGTTTCCAGGAGCTGCCGTAACAAAATATCACAAACAGGAGGCTTAAATGACCTTCGTTTATTTATTTCTTTAGTTTTTATTTTTTGGTTGTGATTTGGGTGAAAGTTTACAGAACAAATTCATTTTCCATACAGCAGTTCAAATACATTTTGCTTCATGATATTGACTGCAATTCCCCACAATTTAATAGCTCTCTTCCCACCTCCTCCCTGTAGTTACCTCTTCTCTGTGTCGTTCCCTCCCATGCACTCCCACCTCACAAGCTGTCTCCCTGTGCAAACATTGCCCTTCTGTTCTCCCATGATTGATCGCTCCAAGGAGTATGTCTACCTGAAGTAAATGTTCACCCTATATGACTGCCTATTGTTGGGCTGGAAGCCACAGAATTGAGTTCAGTTCCAGACCTGAAGGGTAGCTAGGAGCCATAGTTTCAAGGGTCTCACCAGGCTCTATCAGACCAGCAAACCTGGACTTTTTTTATTTTTTTATTTATGATTTTGAGTTTTGTTCCGCATTATTCTCCCATTCTATTCAGGATCTCCTGCACCAATCCCCCTCTGAGTGGTTGACAGTGGTAGCCAGGCACCATCTAGTTCTTCTGGTCTTATGATCATTATAGGCTGAGGATCACATGGTCTACAAGTCCCTTGGACTAATTGTTTCCATGCATCTTTGTTTCTTCAATCTTCTTTGCTCTGGATGAGAAGAGACCCATCATTGCATCTAGATGGCCTCTTGCAAGCTTTTAAGACTCCACTAAACGACATACCTTTATTAATAGTCTCACAGTTCTGGAGGCAGAAAGTCTGAGTTCAGAGTGTCAGTAGGACCATGCTTTCTCCAAGGCTGTGTGGGAAGATCCTTCCTTGTCTCTCCCAGCTTCCGGTGGTCTCAGAAATTCCTTGGCTTGTGGCTGCAAAACTCCAATCTCTGCCTGAATCTTCTCTGTCTGTCTCTGTCTCCTATGGCTCTTTTCCTCTTTTATAACGACACCAGTCATATAAAATTAGGGCTCACCCTACTCTAGTATGACCTCGTCTGAATTTAACTAATTATGTCTGTGAATATCCTATTTCTAAAAAGGCCATTTTCACAGGTACAGGGTTTAGGACTTGAACCTATCTTTTTGGGAGACACAGTTCAACCTGTCACACTCCATTTCAAGCAGCAGAACAGGCAGGCACAGCCTCCGGGAAAAAAAGCGTGGCTGTTGTGGGGCTTCAGGGAAGGCCTGTGGGGCTGGCTGACGCTTGTTTTTCTCATTTGTAAAGTGAAGAAAATCATGCCAGCCTCTTTACTACGGCCTCAGCAATAAAAACTTCATCAGAACCAGGATAAAAGTATTTGAGAAAATAGGGTCTGTTCCATTTAGTGGACTCATCTGTCTCTAGGAGTGAGTGCTGTGATGCTCACTGAAATTCACTTTGTGGGCAGTGGAAGCACTTTGTTCTTTTCTTTCTGTGAGTCCAGAGAAGTGACAGTGTTTGGAGAAATGGAGATGGTAGTCATCACTTGAACACTGGCAGCAGATGGTGCCTGTGGTGATTTGCCTTTCATGCCCGGCCATGGGGTGGGCATGGGGGCTTCATGGCATGCCGCAAGTGGATGCCAGCATGGAGAGAGGCATGGAAGCTCTTTCTTAACTCTCTACAGTTTTGGTTTTGAGAAGAAAACTGGGAGCTTTTACTCCAGATCTATGGGTTTGCACGTGGGAAATTCCTCTGGTTCCTTACGGGACCTGAGGCTGTCATCCTTACCTATTCACACGAGGACCCTGGTGTCTGTGGATCCAACTTGCTGAGGAGGAGCCTGGCAGAACTCTGAGAAGGGTGGAGGCTCCCCGAGAGGAGACCCACAGAGTTCTGTGCAGTGTGGGCACGAAGTGTGGATTTCTGAATGGCTCCATAATGTCTTATGACTCTATGATTCTCCAGGATGGTGACCTGGTCTCTTGTGGTGGTTGCTTCCCAGCACTGACACACCCACAGAACTAGCAGCAGGAGTGGCTCCAAGGGGCATAGGTCAGATTCTGAAAAAAGAGGCAGAAAAACAGATTTCTCAGACAAAGCTTTCGTTAGGGAACTTACATACAGAAGTTAATGCTAAGCTTTTCACAATGGACTGCAAAGCATCAGATATCCGTGGGTAAAGGTCTGTACACAGATGGGGGTTGTATATACTTAGTGCTTATATGCAAGGCTGTGTGCAAGGGACTCAGGAAAAAGCCGGTCTAAGCTATGATGGATGGGGTTGGTTTTGCACTAGTTATGTGTTCCAGTTGACATTACCATGAAGTCAGTTGTTTGGTGTGTTTTTTTCCTGGCCCAGGTCACTGCCCAGTAAGGTACTCTGATTCTCTCCCAGAGTCCCTTGTGGATAGGATCTATCTTATGTTGCTCATCACACTCTCACAATACCGAGGACTGTCACTTAAGGGAAGGCCATGGGAGAATGCTTGGAAAGATGGGGGTCTGTGAGTAGGGCCAGCCTCTCACTCCCCTCGGTGTTAGGAGTTGCATGGACACAGACTAAGGCCTGCTTCTGGACTAGGGAGTTCTGAGGCCGAGGCCAGCGGAGAGGCAGGGAAGGCAGTGGGCTATGGCCTGCAGACAGCATTGGCATGGCTCAGAGGGGGCTGGTTGAACATTTTGATGGTTCCTCTCCCAAGAATTTGGCCCTGTTGGCATGAGGTGACTGCCCAGGGCCAGAGTTAGGAAGGGAGGGAGATCACATGAAGTCAGTTTGAGAGTGCCTTCAAAGCTCTGAAATATCCTGGAGAGGCCACCTCAGCACCAGACAGCAAGAGAAGGTAAAGGCCCCCACATGGGGTGTTTAGGCTGCATTGCCCCAGCATCAGGAAGCAATTGTCTCTACCCTATGCTCTCCCTATCCTGGAGGGGCTGGCAGCAGCAGAAAGAGGAAGAGGGAGGGCAGCAAGAGTGAACCCCCATTCTTGCTGGTTCTTCAAAGCACAATTTAGCCTGGGTTGGGGGAGGGTACAGCTTTGTGTTGCAGGAGGTGATAGTGGCTTTATGTTGGACACTGCAGTGCCTGAGAGAAAGCTCATTGCCCAGCAGGACTATTTTCATAGTGCAAGGTGGCAGGAAGTCCTGGCCAGGGTGGCTGTTTCAGGTTGTGCTAAGTGGGCCTGTGTGTCCCCTTAAGTCTTGGTGGCTCAGGAACCCCTTGGGGTCTTGTCTCCTGTCAGGTGTGGATTGGAGACCTGTGATCAGGGTATTTCACCGAATCATGGGCAAGCAGCTTTATAGCTGGCCTTCTGTCCCAGTCTGGGTCTCCTTAGTAACCCAGGGAGGTCATCTGCCCTTCCTCTCTCACATCCGCACTGACCAGCAGTACTCAGTGGCTGTGCTCTTGGCATGGTGCTGGGCACTGCAGATGTAGGACATGGTGCTGTGTTGAGCGTCCTTGTGCCATAGTCAGTGTATGATGAACCAGTTACTGCTTTGTCACTTAACCTTTCCCACACCATGTACTGGGATGCCTAGTGCCTAGTGGGCCTCATCTGCCTGGCCTGTAGTGCCCTGAACAGCCTGGCATTGGTGGTTGGTTCCAGGGAGTCCAGGGACCACCCTCTCAACTTACTTGTCACCAGGAACATCAATCACAAGTGGAAGGAGAGGAAGGCCATGGCGAAGGTCACCTTCCTCATTTGCCCTCTGATCTATTCCAGAAACCCCACCATGCAGCGTTTCTGGAATCTTGTGCTCAGCAAGCTGGAGAAAAGACTGCTCTGACGGTGGAGGCAGTGGCCTGGCTGGAGGTGGAGCAGTCAAGATGGAGCCCTCGAGCCCAAGGAAACCGGGCTCTGTGCAGGAGGAGGGCTTTGGGTTGCAGTCCAGGAGGACCGCCGACTTGGGGCTGGTCCCCAGTGTCCAGAATGGCAGCAGCAGCCTATTCAAAAGAAGGAGGCCGCAGTCCACCTTTGGCAATGATGAAAAGGTAGACTCCCCTCTACGTGGCTGTGCCTGCTAGCAGTTAGCCTGCATGGTTCAGGGGCAGCAAAGGGGTCAAAATCAACTGGAACCTTGTGTGGTCAATCAATGACCACTGGAGAGGCATGTCTACCCTGGTCAAAGTCCAGTGACCTACAGAGTCCAGTCCAGAAATGCCTTTTAGGAACAGAGAGTTGGAGAGAATAATGAACAGCTAGATCTGTTCCCTTGTGTGAGTTACCCCATCCTTGTACATCTTCTGTCTGATTGGCAAAGTATGGCCAAATACTGAAATCCTGTGAAGTCACGGAAGCTGTCACCTCCCTCACCAGCTTGCATGACAATTTCACATCCTTATTTGATTGAGACAGTTCTGGTAGAGCCTGAAGTCCTGGGCTGGTCTCATGTAAGGCCTTGATAAAAAAAAATCTATCAGATGAGCATATTCAAATTTCATGGTTGCCTGGTGGGATAGGCAAAAAAACCAAGTTGACCCTGACTCATGGTGACCTCATGTGTGTCAGGGTAGAACTGTGTTCATAGGGTGTTTTGTCAGTGGCTAGTTTTTTAGAAATAGATTGCCAGGCCTTTCTTCTGAGATGCCTCTGGGTAGATATGGACCTCCAACCTTTTGGTTAGCAGCAGAGCACTTTAACCCAGAAGGGTGTCATACTCTTCACTTGACTGCTGCAAAAAACTTCTGCCTGCAAGGAGGAAAGTCAGGTATTCAAACTGCTTGGCCACCATGCTGTTCCTGAGGAATGTGACTTATAAACTATAAAATTAAATGCAAATCCAAATTAGACCAAGGGAAAATGATTTCATAGGTTTCTTCATCCCTCCTGACTCTATACCTGAAAGCCTTTTCTCTCATTTTAACCTTTGGTACCTAGGTCTCACTTCTCCAAACAAAAGTCTGGTTCATGTTTGTCAGGAGGCCAGTGCTAAAGACAGTCATAGGATCTAAGCTTATAATAATAATAATAATAATAAAATATTTCAAACAATGAACCTCCATGTGCCCATAATATAGCTTCAAAAACTATTGATTTGGGTGAAGGGAAAGGCAATAAATAACAAAACAAAACGAAACAATCAACCAATGCCTAATCTTCTTTCTTTCTTTTTAAAATCCCTTTACCCATATAAAATCTGTCTCTTAATTATTCATCTGTTTTCCCTCTCTACCCCTCCCCTCCCCCCCCCTGGTAACCAACAAAGTAAATTTTCTTCCCTGTGTAAACCTTTTCTTGACTTTTTACAATAATGGACTTATACAATGTTTGCCCTTCTGTGATTGAATTATTTCAGTCAGCATAGTGTCCTCCAAGTTCACATTATGAAGTGATTCACTGATTCTTCATTATTCTTTAATGTTGCATAGTATCCCACTGTGTGTGTATACTATAGTTTGGTTATCCATTCATTTGTGGATGGGCATTTAGGTTGTTTCCATCTCTTTGCTATAGTGAATTATGCTGCGATGAACATGAGTGTGCATGTGCATGTTCATGTTCTGGGTCTCACCTCCTTAGGATATATTCCTAGTGATAGAATTGCTGGATCAAATGGTATTTCTATTTTCAACTTTTTAAAGAAGCATCATATCAGTTTCCACAGTGATTGTACCATTTTACAATCCCACCAGCAGTGTATGAGAGTTCTAATCTCTCCACACCCTTACTGGCATTTGCTGTTTTCTGTCTTGTTGAACTTTGCTATTATTGCTGGGGTGAGATGGTATCTCATTGTTGTTTTGATTTATGTCTCTCTAGTGGAGGATATAAGCTTTTGAATATGAATGTTTAATTGCATGAGGATCTCAGAGTACCCTTTTTACCCTCAGCAAGAAAATCTCAGTTCATGGATTCCTGAAAACATCAAGAAGAAAGAATGTGTGTATTTTGTTGAAAGCCCCAAAATGTCAGATGCCGGGTAAGTGAACTGCTGTGTTTTTAAGGACCCCTCCCCTTCAGTTTTGTCTTCTTTTGTCAGTTCCCAGGGGGACTCTGCTTAGATGAGGCTGATCAACACCCTGGCAAGGCAGAGGGTCCATACTGTTGTTAGCTGCTGTGGAGTGGTCTCATGGTGATCCCATGTGCAACAGAACAAAGCACTATCCAGTCCTGCATCATCCTCATAGTCAATTGTAGATCTGATCTGGGTTTTCACTGGCTGATTCTTAAAATAGATCAACAGACCTTTTTTTAGTCTGTTTTAGTCTAGAAGCTCTGCTGAAACCTCTTCAGCATCATAGTAACACACTAGCCTCTGTTGACAGACGGATGGTGTCTGTACATGGGTGCATTGGCTGACATTGAACCTAGGCCTCCCACATGCAAAGTGAGAATTCTGCCATTGAACCATCAATGCCTTGAGTCCATGCTAATGACCCCTTACTAATTAATGTCTGCATAAGGTTGAGTCCTTGAAGTACTTCCATCTGTCCCAGTGAGCCTTCTGTGGGGAAGATGTTTTACTGTGTCCTGCTTACTGACGAGGAAACTGAAGTGTTTAAAGTTTAAGTGACTTGTCTGGGGTTACAATATGGCACATACATGGTGATGCTTAGACTTGAACCCAGTGACTTGAGCACCATCTTACATGCCTCCAGAATGTTGCTCCTCTGGAGTAGAGTGTTGAGAACAAGTTGCTGGAAGGGATCTTAGGGGAAGTCCACAGTCCGAACATTTGTTGTAATGGGATGTTGAGGGTTCCTCACCTGCTCCCTGACCCCACTATGATGCCATTGCCTCTCCTCATTGCCTGAGCCTGCTGTGTGTGACTGTCAAGCCTGCCCTGAAGGGTAGCAGTGGCTGCTTTGTCTCTAAGCTGCTGGACATGACCCTCCTGGGCTGGTGACTCCCCAGTGGGAGCTGTTCAATGGTGGGTTCAAACTGCTAACCTTTATGTTAATAGATGAGTATAAACTGCACCACCCAGGACATCACCCTCCCTTTAGTTCCTGTAACCACCCTCCCCATATTGGCCTTCCCCCATCTATTCCTTCTATTCTGAGCTGTCCCACTAATGTGCCATGTTCCTTCTTACCTCCTTCATCCCTTCTTCATCCCTTAGTGAACTCCTATTCACCCTCCAAGGCCTGTTGCAGAAACCCTCCTTGACCATATCTCTCTACCAGGAAATAACCTTTCCCTCTTGCCACCTCTTGTATAGTTATCATGTTTTTTTGTTTTGTTTTGTTTTTTTACCAGTTGTCAATTGTAATTGTGTGGTTCTGTGTTTTCCTTTCTTGCTAGCTGCTGGACTCCTTGGGGGCTGGGACCAAGGTATGCTTATTTTGTTACTGCCTGCGTCAGGTACATAATTGGCATCAGATGTATATTTGGTGAATAAATGAATGGATGAATGATACACGGAAGGAGAAACAGCCCATGGGTGGGAAAGAGAAGAGGGTTATGATGTGAAGTCAGGTGTTGTTTATCAGACATACTAGTGTAATTTTCTGAGCTAGAGAGATGTAGCCCTGTTTCCTGTAATATGCCCAGGGTGTTATCGCTGAAAAGCACCCTCTGTTCATTCCACTAGCCTGGCTTCTCTTCAGATAAGAGCCTTGTTTCTCATTGAGTAATACCAGGGAGAGACCCCTGAGCTGGAGAAAATTGCCTCAGCATCACAGCTAGTCACCTCTAATGGACTTGGTTTCCAGTCCAGATCAGCCTATTCTAACAACATATAAAAAATGCTCTGTGTTGAGATCTCCAGTTGAAGCTATTTTAGAATAGGCTCAGAGGGAACTTAGGAAGCACATACTTCCAGTTATAGAAATTATTGGGTTCATATTAATTTTGGAAAATGTATTGAGATTGTTTGGTTTCTGGTTTATTGGGAATTGAGGATACCAATTAATTAAATTGCTACTTCCTTTTGAATCATGGACTGGTGGAGAGTTGGCAAGGATTGGCGGGACCAGGGAGGATTTGGGGTCAACTTGGGGTTCCTACTCCTCTATTACTTTTTCTTCCTACTTTGAAGAAATAGGGCTCAGGATGCATTTGATTTAGAAACTTCCAGAAACATCTTTATTAGTACCAGGTTTAAGGCAAGAAGCTGCTGCAGGAAGACAGATGGAACAGTCTCTTCATTCAGATGCCAATCTGAGTGTGTGTGTGTATGTAAGTAACTATATATGTTGTTGTTGTTATGTGCCGTGGAGTTGGACCATGTATAAGGAGCTCTGGTGGTTTTAAGGCATTTGGCTGCTAACCAGAAGGCTGGTGGTTCAAACCCACCAGCTGCTCTGTGGAAGAAAGATTGGGCAATCTGCTTCTGTAAAGACATACATCCTTGGAAACCCAATGGAGGTTGCTGTGAGTTGGAATTAACTCAATGGCAGTGTGGTAGTTAAGTTTGTGTGCCAACCTGGCTGGGCCTGGCTGAGTGGCTGGGCAGCTGAAGGTAATTATTTCCCATGGTGAAACTGGTAATTGTAATCTATTGGAGCAGCTGAGTACTTGCTTTGGGTATGTGGTCTGTATCCCACATATAAGAAACAGCTTTGGGAATGATCTCTAGCTTATGGCACACTTGAACCCTGCATGTAGCTGTGTCATTGTTCAGCAGGCTGCCATGCTCTGCCGACCGTGGGACTTTCAATGGACTTGAAATAATGGCCTGCTATGTGGCTTGGTAACATTGGGACTGTCTGTGCCTTTTTATTTGTCAGCCTTGGGCTTGTCAGTCTCAGCAGCCAGCAGCTGTCTGAGCGAAGAAAAGCCTCTAGCTCCAGTGGGCCAGGAGCAAGAAGCAGAGCTGAAGCCCAAGGTTGCGGGGCTTTTACCCAGCCTCTAGAGCCTGGCACTTTGGACTTGGACTTAAAGCCAAGTAAGAATAAACTCCTATTTGTTAAAGCCATCCCATTTGTTGTATATTACTATCAGAGCAGCACTAGGTAACCAGAATAGGTAGTGAGTTGTTTTTTTGTTTTTTAAAATGCTATATATAGTTACTTAGGAGCTCTGGTAGCATAGTGCCTAAGGCACTTGACTGCTCACCAGAAGGCTGGTGGTTCAAACCCAGCAGCCACTCCTTGGAAGGAAGGTTGGGCAATCTACTTCCATAGTGATACCACCTCAGAAACCCGAGGAGGGTTCGCTATGAGTTGGAATTGACTCAATGACAGTGAGTTTGGTTTGGTTTTATACATACACATGAGAGAGTGAGAGAGAGGCAGAGAAAGATAGACACAATGGGAGAGACAGAGACAGACAGAGATATAGATATTTATTTTAAGGAAATAGGTCACACAGTATGAAGCCTGGCAAGCCCAACTCTGTGGATTAAGTATCAGGCTTAAGGCTTCTCCTGACTCACATGGTTGTAGGAGTTGATGAGCCTAAAATCAGTAGGTCAGACAGCAGGCTGCTGGCTCACATCCCAAGAACCAGAGGTCAGAGGATGATAAGTCAGATGCAAGATTGAGAGTTTTGTCCAAACGACCATATATATTGCATGCAGGCTGTATCCCCAAGGAAATTCCTCTTTCAGCTGATTGGCTGCTCACATCAAATCACAAAATGGAGGATGATTGCATAGTATCTCCCAAACCAGTGAGAATCATGGCCTAGCCAAGTTGATACATAACTGTAACCATCACACACCATTTATAATTATTTCCTGATTGCTGTTGAGTCAGCCCTGACTCATGTTGACCCCATGCATAACAGCACAAAATGTTGCCTTGTCCTACATCATATCCATAATCAATTGTGGATCTGACCATTGTTACCTGTAAGGTTGGCATTGGCTGACTTTTGGAAGTAGATCACCAGGCCTTTATTTCTAGTCTGTCTTGAGCTGCAAGTTCCTGAAACCTGTTCAGCATCATAGCAACACACATGCCTCCTTTGGCGGATGGATAGTGGCAGTACATGAGGTGCATAGTTTAGGAACTGAACCTGAGCCTTCCACGTGGAAGGCGAGAATTCTGTCATTGTACCACCAGTGCCTCATAATTCAAACTTAGGGGTCTAAAAGGAGAGATTGGATGAGCATACTTTGAGTTCACCATAGCTATGAGTCATTGTGCTCACAGCCCTGGGAATATCCTACATGGTATTCCACAAAAACAGGAAAGATGAGCCATCTGAGGTATCTTTTTCATGAGAAGCAAAAGGCAAGGCAGGAAGAGCCCGTGGGCACTGGTTTCTGACTGGGCAGCAGGTCTCTTAATGGATTCCTGGTTCTCCACATGATTGGTTGTTTTTCACTAATTTTATAAATTATTTTCTACCTAAAATCTCATCTGACCCTCAGAAACTTTTTCTGGGTGTGAGTCAAGGAAATATACTATTTTTCCCACTTTAGTTATTGAGGAATTGAAAGTCAGAAACATCCAAGCTAATAAGTGGCAAAGAAACCCAAGTCTTTTTCTTACTCTAAGTCTTTCCCCTGTGTCATTGGATCAGATTTCACTTGGTTTTAGATGTTTTTCTTTTTTTTTTTTTTTTTAAATCATCTGTATCTAGTCCTTGTATGTCATGTGGTTTTGAAAAAAAGTAGCAATCTAAAAATACTCATGGATTTCCAGTTAAACAAGGTGTGAAGAACACTTATTTCCTCTCTATTGTGAAATCCCAATGAAATAACAATAAAGGAACAGAAAGGCTTCAACTCACAAAGGCAAAGAAAACAAGAGAGGAACTAACAGTTAATAAGAGATGTGGTTTCATTTTTGCTGGGGGAAAATTATGAAACAGAGCGATAATGCCTGGAGTTTGAATTCTTCTGTAGCATCATCAGGGGTGTCTGACTGTGTTGGTGAGATGGTGGGAGTTTGTGGGACCATGTGCATCTTGTTAGCCTTGGGTCTGAAAGTTTCTGCTCTGAACCTACATCATGTGGGGTTTGTGTTTCTTTCTTTTTTAAAAAACTTTTTTTTTTTTTTCAATTTTTGTTGTGATTTGGATGAAGAT